TGCACCTTCTGCCTGTCACTATAGCAACCCCCTGGAAAATTACCTCAGCAGCCACTAAAATTCATTTTTACAAAAACTAATTTCAGATATTATTAACTTCTGAAACTTAGTCTGTATTATGAATTTACTCAGAACCACATATTTTCCTATTTTCTTTCCTTTGTATCATGCTGAGCTGAGTAGATACTGTTTGGGTGAGAGGCAATATAGCTACAGTGTGATTCATCAAACGAAGATTTCTTAGCAGGTGGTAAAAATAAGCTCAGAGTACCATGTAGCTGAGAACTAAATGTCTTGCATAGTTGCTACTATCAGTTCAACCGAATTCCCCATGGTAACGCTGGTGGTTACCGACTAGCCCTCAGGACGGCTGACAACGTATTTGCAATACACATATTGTTATTATGGCTTTAAATTTTGAAGCTAATAAACTGAGATAATCTGGTTTTGGGCAATTGTTGGCAACTCTCTCTTTGTGAAAGTTTGTGGATATGTCAAGTCTTGTGGTTTATTTGCAAGAGCGTGTAGCAATTTCTTGTATGCACTGAAGTTGCATGGCAAAGGCTGATTGCAGTATTTGTTCATTCATTTTGAGTCAGGCACTTACCCTAAAATAAGCTGCAAATATCTCTTGTGTGCCTAATTTTTTTTGTGTGTGCATAGGATTTGTTTGCCCAGGTGAGCAGTATAGTTGTCAGTACTTTAGGGGCTGCATTAGGTAAGTGCTTTAAAGCCACAGTGAATCACCTTATTAATAAGCAGATATACAAAAGAGTCAGTCAGAATCTTCATTTTCTTTAACTGCTCACCCATCTGCATTGAGAAACCTGACACATTTCACATAGCCTTGGCTTCATAAGTATTCTTCTGGTTCCTTGTAAGACAATGGAGGAAGTAACTCCACCTTGCCTTCCTGCTGGAGTTTATGGACGTCCCACATCCCAGGCCATATCCATCAAGTAAACTACATTAATTTGAACAATTTCAGTGTTCCAAATAATTTTGAGATAAATGCGTTATCAAGCTGTTGTACAAGTAAAAGAGCTGGCAGCTGGGGATGGGCAGAGGTGCAGCTAGGGTGGGGCTGGAGCAAACACAGTTGAAGGAAAAGAGTTGGCATCAGCTAGCACTTTTGATATTTTAAGTTGCTGCTTGATAAAGTAATATAAAAATAAATAGTTAGTTTAATAAGTTGTAGGGTACTTAAAGGCTATGCATACAGTGCTGCATTCCCCTGGTGATCAGAGAATTTCTTTAAGCCCCAGCTTTCATGTGGGGGGCAGAAGTTAGATATCCAACTCTTCTGGCATGAGGAAGGTTTAAAAATACAGGTCTTTCTTGTGACAGCAACTTTTAAACCATGATAAGCCAAATAATAAATTTTCAGTGCTACAGGAACAGTTAGAATATGTGAAAAATGTGTATGGTGGTAATATGTCTTTAAATATTAATAGTATTCCAGTTGTCTTTTCTTTTCATGTAGTCACCTGTAATCACTTACATATTCCCTCTCAGCATTTTGAAATAGTGAGTCAGCCCAACAAACCAGTTGTTCAGAATAATCAGACTGTCACCCCACCCCTTTTAATGCAATGCAAAAATCTGTTTTTGTGCTTTGTGAAGAGAAAATGTCTTCGGTTTTGGCTGTGTAGTAGTATGGATTTAGAAGTATAGCATTTTGCAGTTAATACAAAAGTTGTGATAATGTGTTGAACTTAGATGTGTTGAGTTGCTCCCACTGATGTTTTAGGAAGATTGCACCTGGCTGAATAGAGAAATTAACTTCTGCAATATATCAAAAATCTTCATAACATAAAACAGTGGGTAAAATGGAAAGACCCTGATGTCAATCCCTATGATAGGTATTCCTACCCAAAGATAATAGATTTTTTAGAATTAGTTACTTTATTTTAGAAATTACATAATTTTTAAGAGGGACTTGACATTCTTAGTGGTTTTAGAATGTCTTGAAGGGAGCTCTGTGTTGCTGCTGCAGGCAAAGCTTTCAGTCTGATTTTCAGAAACATGTTTAATCCCCTTGAAGTTGATAGCAGAACGTGAAGTTATATATCCTCATAGGGTAACAGGAAGTGTAATTGTCTGCAGAACTGTCAGTAGCAGAAAATACCTACTCCTTTGCTTCAGAACAACAATGCAGAACTTCATTACTGAATTCCAGCACAAGTCATTTTTCAACAGAGTATCTCTGTTAAAATAAACTTAAAAAAAAAAACCAAAAAACCAAAAAACAGAAAAGCCAGAAAACAAAACTTAAAATAATTTTTTCTACTTAAATAGAATTTCATTGACTATTTGCTGTATGTTCACAGCATTAAAATAGCAATAATAAAAGATTTAGAAGTAATATGTGAAGTAATTTAGAAATAATTTGTGTAATTCAGAAATAATCTGGGATATTTTCATTTAAATAAATTGATACAATAATATGTTTATTAACAAATTTTATGTTGTTTATTAAGTTTTAAGTTAGAAGGAAGAGTGGCAGGGGCTAAATATCATTATTGCTTTTGTTGGTCTGTAGATTCTAATTGCCACAAAGACTTTATTTTTATAGGATTTAGTGCATGCTTCTACTTTTTTTTTTTCTTTGAGATACTCTTACTCGTTTTGACACTGCTTCCTTGATTCTGGGTTTGAATGTATAATTCAGGACAGTTCTTAGAGAGCCCAACATCCTTTGATTTGTTAAGTGAAGAAATTAAGGAAAAAAAAATAGGATTCCATAAGGATGCATAAGGACTCCTCTGTGGACTGTATAGGCTGTGTAAGGTGCTTTGACTGAAATGAATGAAAAGGTTGTCACCTGAGTTTATTTGTTGAGTGAGCAGAACTAGAGCATAATTGAATGGGGACGAGGAAAAGGTAAGTATTTTTAAGGATAAAGTAATGCTTCTGAAACTTAATGATGTCAGTGATTTGTGTTAGGACAAAACAAAACAAAACACCTCATTTGCTTGTTTAATGGTTTCTAGAAACACAGATGATATTTAACAATTTAATAATATCCCTTTGTTTTATCACCTTTCTAAAATCACCCAGATGTGCATTACCAGATACCTTTGTAACACATCCACTATGCAGAGGTGTAGTAACCAGGCTCAACTTGGAGACCACAGCTGAAGCTTGCCAAAGGAATGCAACGAGACAGTTGTGAAAATAGGCCGCCACCTGCCAGTTTATTCAGTTAAAATTCTCCTGTTTTTGTGAATACCACTGTAGCAATGCTTCTTTATGTCCTTCCAAAATTTAGTCACTAAACAAAACTAATTCTTTTGGGGATGGGGGGGAATAAGAAGCTAGTTCGGGGTCTCCATCACTTTCTTACTGTGGTGGTTGTGGATCTCATTCGCTTACACTTTTTTTTTCTTTTCCACCAACAAACTGATGATGGGCTTGTTCATGCTGCTTTTTGTGTAAAAAAAGCTGAGGGTAGATCATGGACTCAGACTCTCAAACTTTTTTCTTATTGCCAGAAACTAGTTAGTTCTCAGAAAATATTTTCAGAGTTGTAGCTTCTGATTTACCGAGATACAGTGTTTAATACATCTTTCTCACACTCAGTGCTTACTATCGGATTGATATTTCATGAATAAAATCATAGTAAGAGAAATTTGATAATAAAATTTGATAACTGAGCCAGTAATAATTTGGCTCCTTTCCAGAGCTAACAAAGTAATTCATCTGTATTTTTACTGTAAGGTAGAAATCAAACTGGTTTATTTTTGTCATTGTTCAGGATAACGTCCTCGCACTATTTCATTAAGAGGTAGTTCATAACATCAGGAATAAGACTGATTATTTCTTTTCTAGGTTTATTTAAAAAAAGCACCTTCACAAATTACTGTGAGAAGAAGAACGTATTCAGAGCTTGGTGACACTTCATAATCATTTAATAAATTACAAGACCATTGCTCTCATCCCCTAGAATGAATGAGGGTATTCCTAGATTAATTTATCTTCTTAACAGCTAACTCTTGGTCATTCTTCTGATGTGAACCAGCCAAATGCCAAAGAACTTAATTTCCTGCGGCAGTCTTTATTTCAGATGTCTGCCATGGGGAGAGCATAAGGTGCCTGGTGCACTGACTTCATGAGATGTCCAGCTCCTGGACCCAAAAAGGCTATCACACACACATTGTTACACTCCTTTTTGCAGGATGTCTTTAATGACAGTTAATTAAAACTTCATGGTGCTTTATGGTTGAAACTCAGCATTAACAAATAAGCATAAGAGTTTTGTGCTGTAGTTACTGAACCTTTACAATTAATTTTATAGCAATTTTGGGTTATTTGCTGGCCAGCTGTAGTGTATTTCATGTACTGCAGGCCCATTAACTTAATCAGAAGTTTCAGTGTGAATGCAGGACTTCGGGTCCAGAGATCCCGCTAAATGCTGGTGCTACCTTCTGATAACAGGATCTGGAGAATTTTTTAATTTGACAGTGGGTGGGTTTTTCCTTTTTTAATTTAGTCTCAAAACAGTGCCACTTATCCTCCTGTTATTTTATAACTGGTAATGATCTAGTCTGTAGCAGTTCATTGTTCTGTGGAAGGTTCATGTTTGTTTATCTAGGTGTATGTGTAGACACTGTAGCATGAATATCAAGAAATGTATGTTACATATTCTAGTAAGACCATGCAATTTCATATTTCTCACATGTTGTATGATACTATGTCTCTAAATTTCCTAGAATTATGTGATTTGAAAACTTTGGTGAATTTACATGTGAAAGCCAAGAAAAGTTGCATAAAAAAACCCCATAATAGTTATGCCACCCTGCTGTTGAAGCTATGTAAGTGGGGATGGAGTACATTTTTTATGGTTTGTCCCCTCTTTTCTGCCGATAATGTTCTTTTTTTTCTGTTGTACTTCTTTCTACTCCACAACCCATTTCCGTTCCCAAATTTTCCTTTCTCTTTTCCTCAGTGGGATGATGGTGTCACTGTCTAGCATTCCTGTTGTTTCTCCCTGTCTATAGCTATCTTAATGACTTGGACCGCATAGCAGATTCCACCTATCTGCCAACTCAACAGGATGTACTCAGAGTTCGAGTCCCAACAACAGGGATCATTGAATATCCATTCGACTTACAAAGCGTCATTTTCAGGTAGAAAAAAAAGTTTTAACACGTACTTGCTTTGTTTCTTTTGTTTCCTTTTATGTTAGTAATAGCAAGTATAGGATATTGGTTAAAAGTGCATAAAAAGCAATAATTCTGTATTTTTAAAATTTGAATTACATCAATTTATTTTCATGTAATTGTCCACGTTTAATAAGGAACTGACATTAAACATGTCAGAAGGATCAAAGACAATTAGGTCTATCTGTAATTCATCTTTTCAATAATATCAAAGTATGAGTAGTAATCTGAAAATAAAATCATGTGTCTTTGTCATTCATGTAAATTATGGAATAAAAAGTTAGCACATGTGTAGTTGACTTTTAGAGAGAAATTGCTCTCCTTTAGAGAGAAATCACCCTACCTTAGTGCAAGTACAGTTGTTTAAAAAATAATTGCAAATTAGACACCTGTGCTTACACTGAGACATGGGATGAAGTGGGAATATACCTCAGCAAACATGAGTTTTAATTTTGCCTATCAAAAATTTTAGTAGGTACATATTGTATTCTATTTGCTTAAAATGGGGCAGATTTAACAAATTGAGAATTTTGATTCTGGTAATTTGGGCGGAAAAAGGCAGTCCACCAAGTCTGTTCTGTTCACATCTGTTTCTGCTGAATACACAGGGCATAAGTTGCCAAGTCGTAGCTCATGAGACCTTTATATCTCATAATTCTCAGGGGTTTGAGTCCAACAATAATTTAAATACAGAAAACAAATCAGACTTAAAGCAAATATGAACTGTCTACTTACAAGAGATTCTATTAAATATCAACGGGAAAAATCATTAAGAAAACCAAACCAAACTGTGGTCTTAACTAAATTCTTGAATTTTGTCATTATGTGTGTGATTGTGTGTTTATCTGTTAAGGTATTCATGGAGTTGATGTGGATGTTAATTTTACAGAATGGTGGATGTAGGAGGTCAGCGATCAGAAAGAAGAAAATGGATACATTGCTTTGAAAACGTCACATCTATCATGTTCCTAGTAGCTCTTAGTGAATATGATCAAGTGCTTGTGGAGTCAGATAATGAGGTAAGCAATCATCAGCAAAAGCCACCAGTTTTAAAGAAAAAATATGTTCACTTGTCCAGTCTGAGGTGTTTTCTAAATGCATCTACCATCAGTCATGCACAACTTGCACTCGCTGGTGTGAGAAGCACTATACAGATCAAAGGGAAGGAAGGGATCAATCTTCAAATATGGCAAAGCTGATCCACTCCATGGAGGATTCAAAGAATTCTGTCTATTTTGTGTTGAAGGGGAGTGCAGCTGAATGTTTGTGCAGTTAGTGTTATGAGCAGAGGCACAATAATAAGTGGTGTAAATTAAGATGAAATTGAGAGATTCCTTGCTGGAACAGACCCTAAGGTAGTAAATGTCATTCCTTTGACTTAAAGCATAGGAAATATATTGTATTTTTATTTCAGAAGATTAGAGAATTAAGCAACTGGGTGAGCTGAGGGTGCAAAGCACACTAGTATCCATTATTTTGCAGGCAGTTTTACAGAGTAAGGAGGTTTTTCAATGTTCAGATTATTTTGTCTTTCCTGAGGGCTATTTTAAGTTACTCTTCAAACATTTATGAATTTTACTCACAGGCACTGTCCTATGCACGTCTTCTAGCACGTACTTACAAAAATTAGGTGGAAGAAAGAAAACATTTGAAAATATCTTCTTCATGGCTGCATACATGTTGATTACAGTGTCTAAGAGAATGGTTGACATAACAAAGTAAAACAAGTGTCCCTCGACGTTCATGTTTGTATGTTGAACTTTCTTCAGGATTCATTTTTTAAAAAAGCCTGGTAGCTCTGAAAGCTTTTACGTTCGTAGTCTTTTTCTGAAAGAAAAATTAATTATATAATTAACTGTATCATTCAAAGCTGAATTTAGAAAAATGATGATGTAATCTGCACCGAGTTCCTCTCTTGTAATTTTGGCAGCTAGATACATGGAGATAAAGATAACTCAGTCAGACTTGGCTTATCTCAAGCCAAACTAGAAATGTCTAGTTCTGTCTTTTTCTGTTTGCATTAGTCTTCCGTAGCCACTAAGTCAACACACAAGTATTAAGCATTTTAATTATACAAGGCAAAGCAAAATATATTAGAAATCACATAAAGAAAAATTAGTTATAATAATTTTCAAGTGTTATTGTAACTATCCAAAAATAAGCTTTCAAACTTTTGGATTGTAGCAGTTTATATCTGTGTTTTCATATAGTCTTTCTCATAGGAAGAATTTCTCAAAGGAACTGTCTCATAGGGAGAGATTTACCAGACTATGGTTCCTTGTGTCATGGTTTGACCCTGGCCAGATGCCAGGGGCCTATTAAAACCACTCCACTACCCTCCCTCGTCCCCTGTGCAGCTGGACAGAGGAGAGAGGAAGAGAGGAAAAAAACAGCAAAGGAATTTCATGAGTAGAGATGAGGATTGAAAGAAGGCGTGTTAACAGTGTTAACAGGCAAAACAAACTCAGAGTGAGGATAAAACTTAAATTTATTACTGACAGAATAAGAGCTAAAGAGTGAGAAATAAAACAGTGTCTTAAAACACCTTCTCCTTCTCTCCACCATCCTTCTTTTCAGGTCTTCCCTCCTTCCCCCAGTGGTGCTGGGGGATGAGGAAAGGGGGGTTTGTTATTGTTTGAGTCCATCCTTCAGGCAGCAGCTTTTTACCGTCGTCTCTTTGCAGTCTGAAGGTCCTCCATAGTTTACAGGGGGACACCTATGTTGCTATGGTCTTCACAATGGGCTACAGGGGGGGTCTCTGCAACTCCGACTCCTTCCTCTGCTTCCGTGAGGTCCCTCCCACAGGAGACAGTCCTCGATGAACCTCTCTAGCATAAGTCCATCCACCCCTTGGGCAACAGTTCTTTCTAATCTGTCGCCCTGTGGACGACTTCACCAAGGGGGTGCAGTCCTTCATGGGTTGAGCTGTACCAATGTGGGTCTCCCACGGGGGCCACAAGTCCTACCCAGAAAAAACTGCTTCATGGGCTTCCCTCTCCATGGGCCACAGGTCTCCAGAAGGACTTCGATCCATTTGGACCTCCCTCAGGGGGTCACAGCCTCCTTCATGTATCTTCCTGCTCCAGCATGGACTTCTCCATAGGCTGCAGGAGGGTTTCTGCACTCCAGTGGTTCTTTGTGGGTTGCAGGGGCTTCAGCTTTAAGTCTTCGCCCTGCTTCTGGGGGAGGGGGGAGGCCCCCCACTCCATCCCACCCCCCGCCTCCAGCTGCACCGAGCTTGGTAACTGCTTGTTCTCCCGGACTGGAATTTCTTCTGCACTACAACCTTCTCTTCCTCTGTTCTTAAATATGTTATCACAGAAGCGCATCTCATTGGCTCAGCCTTGGCCAGCAGCAGGAAATCCCTCCTGGAACTGGCTACCCTTGGCTTTTCCTAGGACAGTGAAAGCTTCTAGTAACTTCTAACAGAAGCCACCCTATAGCCCCCCCACTACTAAAACCCAGCCACAGGTTAAACCCATGACACCCTATTAGCTGTATTCTGTTCTAATTAGGTGGCTTGCTTGGCACTTTCTCTAGTTTGTCAGATAACTTCAGTGTGTAGATCATGACTTAGAGCATCCCTGCTGTAGAAGACAGAGCATTATCTTCCTAGGCTGAATCATTTGGCGTATACCAGCTTGTTCTGTGTTCTCATAAGCTAAAAGGGTTCAAGTGTTGTGATCTGAATAGAACATCTGACTGAAGATTGTACTTTGGGCTCTTCAATGACTGAAGTGATGCCTAAAATTGTGGTAGCTTTTCTGTAACTACTTTTCAACTATCATGAAAAAGATGACTTTACTCATAAAGGTGGTTTGATTTTTCAGATTTTTCACTTTCAAAATACTTTATGGAGGTCAAAACCTTCTTGCAGATGGTTCTTTCACCTTGCTGCTAAACTGTTTGAGTTTCTTATTAGCAAGAGTGGAAAACTTTAGAACCTTTTTAGTTTAAAATATATTCATGATTTAATCATGACCAATTTTTGTTTTCAAGTCATACATAGTCTAGTAGACTTTCCATCACCCTTAGGTCTTTGTTACTCTAGCTCTGGGAATGATCCAGACAGTGTCAGAGCTAAACACCAATCTGGACAGCTTAAGTTTTGGCTCTCAGCAAACTGTAACCTGTCTGTCTAGATTTTGTTGGTATGCTCAGGCACTGCTTTCTTCCTTTCCTTTTCTCTTCCCTTTATCTCTAACCATTGCACTGCCAGAATAAATGGAAAAATGGGTTTATTTACTCTGCATAAAGCAAAACATAGTTTTTCTGAATGTGAGTGTGGCAGAAATATGGGAAAAGGTTTTAAAGGTGTTAGTTGACACCTTGAATTAAGAAATTTATCCCAGAAAAATGTTTTTGTTCTTCACTACAGAGTGACAACCTCATAAGAGAAGACAGTGATTTAACTTGGAGACTTTGGTAACCAGCCAAGAGACACTTTTTGCACCTAGCTTTAAATCGTGAAGCAGAATTGAAATTTTAGCACAAAAGTGAGGGAGTGTGTGTAAATGCCTTACTTTCTTCATATATGTGCCATCATTTTCATTCTAGGATGGAATCTAATCCTTCTTTGATCTGTGTGCCTTGTACTGAAATTAAAAGATCCGACTTGACAATTTACAGTGTTCTGCTATTTCCTTTGCATTGCTTTCATGACCTGATTAAGCTATGATTTTTGTAAGATGGCCTACTTTCTTTTTCTAATTTGTTCACTGCGTGTTATTGCCTGAAGTCTCTTCCCTTGTAGTACATTTTTACAAAGAAAACTGTAATTTTTAATAATTTGTGGTGTTCTTTTTAGTTAATACAGTTTTTCATTAGACTCATTTTCATGACTAAATACGAATCTGTAGCAATTACTATTTACCATTTGGTGCATCTATGATTATATGACCCTTTCTCACTATGAAATCAGTTTAGACCCCTGAAGATTTGTATTTCAAAGTGTGGTGCCTGGTGGATGCTTAGTTGTAAATCTGTTTCTTCCCTTGTTTACCTTATTCAAGAGAAATACATTTGGATTATAAATCAGTTGAGTTCTGCTGAGTTGAGAGGATTTGCTAGTGTCTCTCCAGGGCTTTTACTCCCTGGATATGTGTGAGGTGGAGCTGGGAACTGTTTCTGTCTTCATGCATTTGGAGGAGTTAAGAATTAAAAGTTCTGAGGAATATATTATAACTACTGTGTAAGGGGACATCATACATAAAAAGCAAAACAAGTGTTCAGATTGCCTATTATTCAGAGACCTGTGTAGGATGACTTTTAAATGACACATTATTGAAACTGTACTCCCAAGACAAAGATCTACAACTAAAGAGTTGAGAGCTTCAGTCCTGAAGAAAAGCACATATGGCTGTCCGACTGTATTTTAACTAATTTCTCTAAAAGGTGATACTCAGAAACAATGCCATCTCTCTCAAGTATGTGTCTAGATTGTACATAACTTTATTTTGGTGCATAAGTACAAAATGGGAAGAATCGATAAGGATGGTATATTTAAACATATCCTGTGAAATTCCAGTTGATGTACAGTCATTAAGTGCTTCTTTCTTCTAACATACATGAAGCTGTTCTGCATTCTGCCCTTAATAAAATAGAAAGTCTTTCTAGGTTCATTGGTGAAAATGAGGACAAAATTTGAGCCAGAGGACATAATATACTAATTACCTTAATAGTACTGTAAATTAAATAAATATTACATCAGTCTGATATGATGTGACAAAGGAGAACATGTTATAAATTAAATTATCAGTTGTTTCATCTTTTCAGTTTTTCAGAAAACTCCAATGGAATTAGAGGTGAAATAAATTAGGGAGTCATCTGTCTGGTACATTGATCTATGATATATTATATCCTGTAGGTCATGCTTTAGCTCTGAATTATGACAGCAGATTTGGAGAAATTTATGGTTTTATTAAAAAGCACAGTTTAGAACTTTACCCATGTTGAAAATCGACTTATTTTCTTAAATAAAGGATTCATTCTAGATTAAGTATATTAATAGATATTACAG